GTAGCTGAATTCTTGTGGGCAAACAATCTTGCAAAAGTCTCCTAGTAAAAGTTATAATTTTTTAAGGGATGGAGCATATCCATATAGGTGGCTATACACAAAATCAACAACATCATTGAAACTTGTGGGAGTCTATTGAGATTGCAAAAGGTTATAGGCAAATTTGGCAGTAATTTTTTTTTCTAAAATGTCCTCTAACTAGAGCCATGTATCTAGTACTTCTTCATGTAGTTCTACCAGAGTTAACAGGTTCTGCAATTCATTGGCCAATTATGGCTCCTATACAAATAATGATCTTCTCCAATTCCACCTCCAAGACCACAAATGTTGAAGCCCCACAACCATACTAGCAACAATTGTTTGTTTATCCATAAAATTTTAAAAATTACAGAGACTAAAAAGACTAATTTTAAAATTTGAGGACTAAAAACATATTTAAACCTAAAATAAATATGTTGTATTGTTACAATGTTAGTAACACAAAATTCTTTACTGAACAAAAGTGACACAATATTGTCCCAAGTAAGTAATCATCCAAATACTAATAAACAATTTTTTTAAAAAGTTATAGGGACTAAAAAGATCAATTTTAAATTCGAGGGAGACAAAAGATCAATTTTAGAATTGTACAACTAAAAACATATTTAAGCCTAAAACAAATATGTTGTATCGTTACAATGGTATTAACAGAAAATCCGTTACTGAACAAGAGTGATACAGAGTATTGTCCTGAGCAAGTAATCATCCAAGTTTAGGGTTCAAGGTTCACTGATTATTAAGTTCGTGGTCTTGTATAGAGCTTCCTAGAGTTGTTTGTAGCTTGACTTTTGCTTCTCTTTGGATTAGAGGTAATGGAAGTTGGATTCTTGGTTCTTGTTGGATTGTTTGGTTGGTTGTTGGTTTATTCAATATGGATTCTAATAGTTGCAATTATATTGTTGAATAGCATGATTTAGAAAGGCGATAGTTGAACTTGGTGTTTTTGGGTTTCAAGGAGAATTGGTGATTTTGAGAATGTAAAAAATAAGTCCATTTATTTTACGGACCGGACTTATCTGCCCTGTATAAAACACGAGTTTTACGAACCGGGCCTTAAACGGGCCGGACCAGTCCGTATACCCACCCCTAGTCACAATACAGGACAACTTGTTTAGAATAGGAGATTTTCATATCTTGAAGTAGAAAACTCAGCCATTGTAACTCATAAGTAGCATAAGCAAGGGCTCGGTACTCGGCTTCGAATGATGAGCGAGATACAGTGTTTTGCTTCTTTGTTTTCCAAGAAATTAAGGAATTGCCAAGAAAGAAACAATACCTGGTAACAGACCTTCTTGAATCAACACAAGTTGCCCAATCTGCGTCACTAAAACCAAGAATTTGGATGGGAGAATCATGACTAAACATCAAACCATTTTCGGGTCTGCTCTTGAGATAACGAAGGACCCTCATGGCTGCTCGAAAATGCATCTGCGTAGGATTGCCTATGAATTGACTTAGTTATTGTGTGGCGTAAGTGATATCAGAACGAGTGCTTGTAAGATACAATAGACGACCAACAAGTCTTTGGTAGGAAAGTGGATCAACAAGAGATTCAATGGAATCTTGATGCAAACGAAGTGCATTGTCCATGGTTGTGGAACATGGTTTCGACCCCGCCATACCAGAATCCTTTAAGAGATCTAACAATATTTGCATTGATATAGGGAGATTCCTGCATCTGAATGAGCAACTTCTATACCCAGAAAATATTTCAACAAACCAAGATCTTTGATATGAAAATGTGAATGTAATATTTGCTTAATGTAAGCAATTTCGTGCACAGAATTCCCAGTTAAAACAATATCATCCACGTATATGATTAGGGCAGTAAATTCATATGCATCAGATTTAATGAAAAGGCTATGATCAGCATAAGCTTGTTTATATCCACAAGATAAGAGTAAAAGATAATACTTTTCATACCATTTCCCGCTCACTTGTTTTAGACCATAAAGAGATTTCTTTAATTTGCAACATTGTGAATTGTGATGTCCCTTGACACTAGGGGGAACAATCTTGTATACATCTTCAGAAAGCTCACCGTGTAGGAACGCATTACTGACATCAAGCTGTTGAAGATGCAATCTATTTATAGAAGCCAAAGTAAGAACAATTCGTATGGTTACCATTTTTACGACTGGAGAGAAAGTTTCAAAATAGTCAATACCTTCAATTTGTGTGAGTCCATTCGCTACAAGTCGAGCTTTGTACCGTTCCATAGTCCCATCTGGTCGCTGTTTGATTTTGTACACCCACCTACATCCAATGGGTTTGACATTTGGAGGAGTTTCAATAATGTCCCAGGTCTTATATATTCAACACTAGAGCCTCTATTTCACTATTCATAGCCTCTTTCTAGCAAGGTTTCTGAATGGCTTCTTGGTAAGTAGTGGGTTCATGCTCAAAAGATAATGACATAAGGTAATGACGATGAGAAGGAGATACAAAAGTGTAGCTAAGAACGAATGCCAATGGATGTGAACACTTCGTGGATGATTGTGTTGGTGTAAAACTGTAGACATAATCAGCAAGGTGAGGAGGAGCATGATGTGGTCGAGTAGATCGACGAAGAATAGGCACTGATTGATTGGGCTCACTATGTTGTGGTGAGATTACGGTTGGTGAAGAGGAAGACGATGGAAGGGGTAAAGGTGAGTGAGGTTCGGTCATAGGAGGAGAATTTGGGCTGGAGACACTGTCTGTAGATGAATATGGGCCTATATTGGTTTGAGATGTGTTTGGGCTAGTGTATGTTTGTTTGAGCTATGGTTGAAGGGGAATCAGTGTTTGGCAATGACCAAGTTGGGTTGGGACAAGACAAGGTTGGATTGGGCTCTTTATCTGGAGCAAAAGGAAAAATCATTTCATGAAAAATCACATTTCTGGAAATAAAAATTTCTTTTGTGTCTAAATCCAAAAGAATGTAACCTTTTGTGCCATTTTGAAAGCCTAAGAAAGCTCCACGTCGTGCACGCGGGTCATATTTTTTATGGTATGTGTGTGTTGATGCGTAGCATAAACAAGCAAAAATTTTGATCATGGAAAAATCTGGTGGCTGTTTATGTAAAGACTCATAAGGAGTTTGATTATGAAGGACGGGAGAAGGAACACGATTAATGAGATAAACAACATGTTTGATGGCATAGGACCAAAAATGAGTTGACATATGTGATTGAAAAAGGAGTGCTCTTGCAACATTGAGAATGTGTTGGTGTTTTCTTTCAACTCTTGCATTTTGTTGTGGAGTAGCAACACAACTTGTTTGGTGCAAAATGCCTTTGGATGAAAAAAAATCTTTTAAGAAAAATTATGGACCATTATTAGATCTAATACATTTAACCTTTGTTTCAAATTGATTTTCAACAAGAGCAACAAAATTTTGAACATTCAATTGGACTTCCGCTTTTGATTTTAGTAAAACAACCCAAGTATATATACTATAATCATCAACAATAGTTAGAAAATATTTGTGAACATGAATGGAGGCTTTAGAAAAAAAGTCCCCAAATGTCCATGTGAATTAAATCTAATATTTTGGAAGCTCTACTAGTACTAGAAGAATAAGATAACTTTCTTTGCTTAGCCAAATGACAAACATCACAAGTTTCATTAAAATTTTTGGAAATAAAAGGAAATTGTTCATGTAAAACAGTAAGACGTTTCCCAGATAAATGGCCTAGTCTAAAATGCCAAATGTTTTTCATGGTGATAGGACTGGTGGTGGAAGAGTGAACAAATGGAGCATTGAGTGGGGATAGAGGTTCTTCGCTGATTACCAAGTGATAGAGGCCTTATTGTAGTTTAGCCAAACCATTCATCCTCGAGGAGTTCACATCCTATATGATGCAAGAATCATTAGAAAAAGTGAGTTTATAACAAAGACTAGAAATCAAGTTGGAAATAGACAAAAGGTTGAAATTAAATTCTGGAACATAGAGAACATTATGTATGACAAAAGAAGGAGAAAATTGTACAGTTCCTGAGAAATGTGCTGTGACAAAGGCACCATTGGGTAAATTTATTCGAGCGGGTTTTATTTTGGTATAGGCTTGAAGTAAAGCAAGAGAAGATGCAATATGATCTGTAGCTCCTGAATCTACAATCCAAGGGGTGGTATGTGAAGAAATGAGAGACAGCGCATGTGTGTGAGAAAGGATGTGTGTGGTGGCACAAAAAAGGAAAGGGGTACCCACGTTGGAATCAGGTGAAGGGATTAGGCTCTTTAGAGAAAGATTAGCAGTTTTGGGCTGGTTGTTGTCTACTGGGCCTGAACCACCAGGATGAGGAGTTTGCTGGAGAAGACTAATTAAATGTTGAAATTGGGCTATAGTGAGATTAAGCCCAGAAACATGAGTGAAACCCTCATTGGTCTCCTTCTCCTCAACATAGCATACATCATTCACTACAAGAAAATGAAGATTTTGAGACACTTATATGGCCCACATTACGACAGTTAGAACTGCCGCAAAGACACCATTGTGACGGTTCACCAACTGTCGCAGAAATGACCGTCACGAGTGAATTTTGCTACGGTTACTAGAACCGTTGCACAAACCGTCGCAAAATTGGAATTGCGACCCTTACAGTACCCATTGCACTAACTGCCTCTAAATCAGTCGCTAAATATTTATTTTTTATTTTATTAAATTTTTTAGATGTCTCAAATTTGGTTGCTATTCTTCTCAAAGATTCTATTTCACAATACTTCACTTTTTAACATGTTTTGTCCTTACTTACACAGTTTCTGGAAAACTTCCCAGAAGGTCACCCATCCCTATATTACTCCAAGTCAAGCACACTTAACTATGGAGTTCTTATGAGATAAGCTACATATATAAGATTCTTGGGAATTAAAGATTTTAATATTTTGGTTATAATAGTATATTCTTATGTATATAAATATTTTTTTACAAAAATATTCTTTATTAAAATAACCTCATTAGATATATTTATTTACTCAATAAGATCAAAATATGAATCTCTAGAGAGGACCCAAAGGTACTTGAGATGTATTTATAAGAGCATTACTTTTATACAGTTAGTTTGGTATAGCCTTATTTATTTAAAAATAATTTATTTATAAAATAAAATCGAAAACTTATTCATTAAATTTTCACCCCTATATTTAACGGTATACTAAAATGATCCTTCATACAATTACTCTTACACTGCATATGTATATGGAAACAAAAATGTTTTGTATATATAAATCAAAATACTTTACATTGTTTCTTTGCTGTGTTTGAAGGCATTTTCAAGGAGAAGAACTTGAGCCACTTAGCTTTAAAGAATTACAGAGCCTCGAGAAACAACTAGACATAACTCTCGCACTAACTCGACAGCATCAAGTATTGTCAATAAATTCATTTATTTACATAAAAAGAAAAGACAAGATTAAAATGAAAAATATATTTTAAAGACTAAAAATACATTTATTTATTTATTCATTGCTGTTAATATTGTCGGGTGCGCCTTTAAATTGCAGGCGAAGAAACTCATGGCCCGAGCGGATGAATTACGCGAAAAGGTATGCAATATTTAAACTTCAAATATTAAATGAGGGTTGTATGTATGTTCTTGATTTGTTGGATTTTACTCCATTTGATGTGAACCGTTTCTGTGAATTTCAGTACTCCATGCATTTGTTTTCCTTGTTTCACAACTTGGTGCTATAGAAGTTATTATTTATTTATTTTAATTATGTTATTGCTCCAAAGTATATATATATATATATATATATATATATATGAAAACGATACTTGGTATATTAATGACGAATATTTAAAAAAAATCTTGATTATGTCTTAAAAAAAAAACACTTATACACATGAAAACTCTTCTCTTTTAATCAAAGTGTTATACACAAATAAATAAAACTATAAAAGAAACCCTAAATCCTAAACCATACCATACTTTATATTAGTTTATCTTAACTCAAGACTACATAAGAGTTATTATAAGTATTTTTTTTAATACAAAACATTTTTGGACTACAAACTAAGTATTTTCAACTTAATTTTTCAAATAATACAATAAATATTTTGTGATATAAATCCTCTATAAGCTTCAACTATTTTCACAAAAAAAAAATATAGGGTGAAAATTCATTAATTATAGTTTTATAAAGACAAATTATAGGAGAATAGAGAGTCTTTTTCTAAGGAAATACTTGGGGGATGTCTGATAGGAGAACTTTTTTCATACACAGAGATTATGATTTCTAAGAAATATAACTCCTGAAAATCATGCTTCTTGATAATAACTAAAAATTGTTTAGTTACATATAGATGTTCCTAAAAATATTCATATAAGATTCTTGGGAATTAAAGATTTTAATATTTTGGTTATAATAGTATATTCTTATGTATATAAATATTTTTTTACAAAAATATTCTTTATTAAAATAACCTCATTAGATATATTTATTTACTCAAATCTTGATATATTTATTTACTCAAATCTTATTATAAGTATGAAATTAAACTATTTGAAAAGAATTTTTGTCTTGTAGATTGCGACGGTTGGGAGGAACTGTCCCAATGTTGAAAAATTTTGCGACGGTTGGGAGAAATTGTCGCAATGTTTGAAAATTTTGCGACGGTTTTGAGAAAAACCCTCGCAATGTTGGAAAATTTTGTGACGATTTTGGGAGAAACTGTCGCAATGTTAAAAAGTTTTGCAACGGTTGGGAGAAACCGCCGTATGAAGGGTTGTAATATCAAAGCGACGATGGTTTCAGGATAACCGTCGCAATTTATCCGTCGCAATTCATCATTTTCCTTGTAGTGATTGATAGCGCTGTTAGCGGAAGAACTAGTGCGAGGATTAAACTTTGGCCTGCCGGGATAACAAGGATGACCCGGTGGATAACCATGTTTGCTATAATAGATGTACATTGTGTGTGGGCAAGACGATGACAGTAGCTACACTTTTTGGTGGAGTTTCATGTGTTTGGAGTGCGTCGAGCTCTGTCCACTACAGTATTAGCAAACGAATTAGGCTCAGCAATGGAAGAAGTGGAATCAGGTTGTTGGCGTTCGTGTTGAATGACTAGGGAAAAAATCTGATTCACGGAAGGTAAAGGGTCCAGGAGGAGCACTTGAGAGCGAACCACGGCAAAACGATCATCGAGACCTTTAAGGAACCTGATTATAAAATCTTGTGTATGATATGTTTTGGCAGAGCATTCGCAAGCAGACAAGGGACGAAAGTTATCCAGTTCTTCCCATAAAGCTTTTAAGCTAGTAAAGTAATCAGTGACATTTCGGGTACCCTGGTTAAAGGCATAAACCTCTTCTTGAAGTTCTGCGATTTGAAGTAAATCACCTTGGGAAAAACGTTCATGAAGATCAATCCAGATGTCTATAGCTTTATCAAAGTAGATCACATTTTGAGCGATGGAAGGCGACAAAGAGTTCAATAACCATGACATGATGAGTCTGTTGCATCGTTCCCAGTGAAGGAATAACGGGTCTATAGTAGCAGGAACTGGAATAGAACCGTTAAGGAACCCCATTTTATTTTTGGAGACAAGGTCCATACGAAATGATCGAGACCATGAATGATAATTGTTGCCAACAAGGGCTGGAGCAACAATGACTGTTGAGGGACTTTCACAAGGGTGAATGTGATAGGGACTAGAAGGATTTTGGGTGGGGTCTCGTGGGGGATGTAAAAGAGTATCATTGGCCCCCTAGGTTAGATGTCACCAGTACATAATACACCCTTTACGTCAGTCATTTTAGGGGTTTTTACGTCAGAAAAACTTCCGACGTTGAAGCGGTAGACGTAAATTTACGTCGGGGCGCGAAAACCGACGTAAATTTACGTCGGACGTGCCAAGGTCCGACGTAAAAAGTTATAAAAAATTTATAAAAAAAATTTGAGTGCAAGGAGAACGGCCCGTTCTGCAAGTAGAACGGCCCGTTCTCCAAGCAGAACGACCGTTCTGATTGAAGAACGGGCCGTTCTCCTTGCAGAACGGCCGTTCTCCTTGCAGAACGGGCCATTCTCCTTGGAGAACGGGCCGTTCTGCTGCAGATCCACCCACGCGCAAAGAATTTTCTACCTGTGAAGAAACGAGAGGGTGCAGCAGTGAAGAAAAATACATACAAAAGGGAACTTGTACATGGGAAAAGGAAACGTGACCTTTCTCTTGTTGCCATGCATCTACAATGTTGGTGTGGATGAAGAAAAAAACACCTCTCTTCCACAGCTTTCGAAGGCTTGAAGTCCTGTTTCAACGGAGAGCATCGGGCACCTCTCTTCCACAGCTTAGCATCTGGCACCTCTACCCAGTTAATCCCAAAGGAAACTTCTGTGAGAGAGCTACGTTCCCCTACCCAGTTATACCGAAATGGCTCAATTTAAAACCTACCGAAATGGTTCTTGAGGCGGGAAAATTTGGATAGATTTTTTACGTCGGGTACAGTAAACTCCGACGTAAAATTTAAAATTTACGTCGGTCATTAAATACGTATGACGTAGATTTTACATTTTACGTCGGACCCTATTAAGTCCGACGTAAAAAAGTTCACAAAATTTACAAAAATGTCACCGCGTCTTTTTTACGTCGTTTTCTGTTTTGACCGACGTAAAAATAGTGTCGTAATAGACTATTTTTATACTAGTGTGTATGAGAGACGGAGCCTGACATTTTAGAAAAAAGCTATTGATACCATAAAGAGAAAAGCTGAAAGGAAGAAAAGCAGGATATTGGAATAGAATGCACTGCTCATTAATGAGAGGAGTGTACATCATATATATTGCTTCAACATATGGATCAGAATGAATAAAGGCAAAAATAGTACAAGAAAATAACCACTATACAGCTCATCATATTCTAGAAGAATCCTAGCTATTTACAACTGTCATTCTGTTGCAGAGTGTGTATTGCAGCCCATTTCTATTGCTATACAATGTTGTTTTTGGATTGAATTGGGCTCTTTATCTGTTACATACAAATATGAAAAAAATCTCAATATATTATGACTTATAATATATAAAAAATATTATTAATAAATTTCAAACGTTTCGGATAATATATATATATATATATATGGGGAATGTTAATATACTCCCACCTATTTTTTAGTGGAAGTATGTTAGCAACCTACACCAAAATTTTAGGACAAAAAAATCACTCATTTCTTTTGATTTGGTTTAGGGTTTAGGGTTTAGGGTTTTGCAATGATTTAAATGAGAGAAAATTATATTTATAATAGAAAATTTTGTTTGGTGTTATTTTCTAATTAGAATTAGAAATTTACGCATATAATTAATGTAAACCTCTAATTCTAATAGAAAAACATTATCAATTGAAAACCTATACTTAAATTTTAAATGTAATTTAGTAGAATGAAAAAAAATATTATTTTGCTTAAAAAAAGTGTCTATGACAAATATGTAGTTAGAACGGCCCATTCCGAATTCAGAACGGTTCGTTCTGGTTTAACTAGTCATGTGTTATTTTTGAATCTGGAACGGGCTGTTCTGATTTCGGAACGGGCCGTTCTGATCCATTCGTCATGTGTTTTTTTTTCATCTAGAACGGTCCGTTCTGATCCATTATTCATGTGTTATTGTTTCATCTGGAACGACCTGTTCTGATTTCAGAACGGCCCGTTCCAAACGTGAATAACAGTTGCGTCAGTGTATCGTAATACATGCTTTTTTTGGGTAATTTAAAAAAAATTAATTTTAGTAAAAAATTCGGAAATTTTGATCCTATGTAATAAGGTATATAATATGCTATTAGATTAGATCCATCTTATGATTAATATTCATGGTGCACCCATACACCACTTGTATAAGTGGTCCTTCAGAGAATTCACCATGTAAGACATATCTTTTCTGTTTGTTGGGTTTAAGTTCTTGGCACTACCTACATCTGGTGGATATATATCTTTGACATTTATCTTAGTTTCTTTCTTTTTCTTCAGCAACGTATTGATTTACAGAACGAAATTTTATTGCCAATCAGTGTGATGAAAAAGGCCATTACATTTGGAATCCTCTCTAGCCAAGTTTCTCTCAACCATTATATCTTGCTAAATCTCTATCGTTAATTCACTATTAGAACATTAATTAAAGAAAAGAAAGAATGTGATTGATGGTAGAGATTTCTGCTGGAAAAATAGTTCTGCTACAGAAGTTGGAGAGGATCCAGTTTCATATTTATTAAACAATATCCCCATTTCTAAAATTTCTTATTCTTTCTTTCATTGCACTCAAGGTTTGCGATATTAATCAAACAAAGAAGGCAAGTTTAATAAAACAAACAAGGTTGCCGAAATGATTAACAAATTTGTTTTGCCTTCTTTCCTAAATATGATAAGTTGAGCGAAATGACACTAAAAATAATGACTATTAATTTATCAGATTACGGGCTAACCATAGTAAAATTATATTAAAAATAATTAATTAAATTAATTGACAACAATATATGAACCATTTAGGTTTTATTAGATAAATTAAAGGTGTCAAACACATCTCAATAACTTAATTTTTCAAGTTGTTAGATATATATGATTATTTTAAAAAAAAATAAGGTAAATAATCATGTTAGTCGATAACTAATATCTATTAAAAATTTAATTGATTGGTTAAATAAAGTTTCATATTTTATCATTTTTTTTTATACACATGATTTGAATTCAAAATTTTACTTAAGAAAATAAAATTCAGTATCATTCAAACCAATAACTTGTTAGTAATGCATTGCTTTACATTACTACTAAATCGTTTAAAGTTGAGTTTCAAATTAAAATATGAGAATCAAAATAATAGAGAATAAAAAAAAAATTCAAGACAAGTGTGGGGTTTCCTGTACTAACTTTCATCTATAATATGTGGCAGCAAAGCATATAGAGATATATATATTTGAAAAAAAAAATTAAAAACTGAAATTCCGGTGCCTTGCAACCCTACTTGTGAACCCGCAATGTGTCGAGTTTCAAATGGATGAACATCTTTTTCATGGGAAACTGACGTAAGGTAAAGTGAGATTCAGCTTTTGTAGCATTGAAAAGAGCCATTAGGGCACTGAAACGTGGCCAAGTGCAGTGGAATTGAACCAAATAATAAAAGCTTCCTAGGTCCAACAACATCTAGGGTAAAGTTGAAAAAAGAAGGGAAAAAAAGTAGAAATTGCCTCATAGATTAGATGAGATTGAAGTGACACTGGCTAAGAATCAACGACAAAGAAGATGAACATTGTTAACCAAATGGAAAACAAACGCCACACACACAATTTCAATGGCTATTATGACTGAAAATGAACTAAGGTGAAAAATTCTATGCAGTTTGATCGACACGTATTATTGTACCACATTTTATTGCCTTTCTTTGGTACAAACCACCTTTTGTTCTCTTAATTAATGGTGAATATAAAGTGAAGTGTTAATAATGTCTTTTTCATCTCTTCAGTTTTAAGATATTGTTAAATATATGTGAGTCGTATTAATTTATACTAACATTTAATGATTTAATTAACTACGCAATTTTTTTTTATGTATTGTTAAAAATATATTAAAAATATTTAATAACATATTAACATTTTTAGAATAAACTAAATAGCTTGCATGGCTGTCAACTTCCTACCGGAGAAAGTGAATAATTTTAAAAGGAAAAGGCATCATGATGGAAAAGAGAAAATCCAAGGTTACCATTTTGTCGCATGCACATTCTCAGATTATTTGTTTTTCATTTTTTCTTTCTTTTCTTTATTCTAGCATATATTCTGCTATATGATACACCTAAGGTTTTAAATTCCTACTAAAACTGTAATGAAAATATTATGATTTTATTAGAAGTCTTCATAATCACATTGTAATCATAATGTTTAGATTGATCATTGCAACACTCGGTAACTTATCTATAATTTCTTAAAATTATAATTAATTAAAACAAACCCAATTGCAACACTCGGTAACTTTGATTCCATTTTAAAATCTAGGTTGATCGGTGGTTCTTTTTCATTTTAGTTTTGATTACATATTAGTCTAATCGATTATACAGAATAAAGTTATTAGAAGTGATGTATAAAGTTTTCCCACTTGACCTAGAGTGTATTCATTGTATTCTTTCTAATACATGTCTTATAAAATAATTAAAATCTTGACTATATATTCCATTAAAAAAATTATATCACCACTGAAGGTATGAATTTATTGGTGTAGGATTAATTTAATTTAATTATTGGTATAAAATTTAAGTTTTAAATATGTAGTGGAATTAAATATTAAGAAGAAAATCCTTATTTTCTATAATAATTTGATCCAGTTTGAGTAGGATATATTTAGTTTATTTTTGTTCTTGTTAAAGGTATTTTTAGTCTATTAAGTCAAAAATTAATCTTATTCATAATATTATGTAATTTTCATTAATTCAAAAGACTTTCAAATATAGAGATCGAATGTGAGATTCTCTGTTAAATATTTAGCTTACAAAAGTGCGTGATATGATTATATCTATTTTTCTGTGTTTCAACTTTATGTTTACATGAATGCATTTCAACGTGAAAAACAACATAATATATAATAGCAGTTAGTAAATTAGAAAAACTTAAAGTTTACGATGAGTTCTAAGAGCCTGATATTGCGGGGAAAAGCGTGGTCATGAGTTTGGCGATAGAAGTAGAATATGGAATCTTGATCGTATTATCTTTATGCATGTGCTTATCCATTACCCCTTCTGCAGTTTAATATATAAAGAGAGAAGAGGAATAGAACCATATAGTTAAATTTAAATATTTACTGTGTGAGAGAGAGAGAGAGAGAGAAACCATGGGAAGAGGAAGGGTTGTTCTTGAGAGAATAGAGAACAAGATAAACCGTCAAGTAACGTTCTCAAAGCGCAGAAGTGGGTTACTGAAGAAGGCCTTTGAGCTTTCTGTGCTGTGTGATGCTGAAATAGCACTCATCATCTTTTCTAGCCGTGGCAAGCTTTTTCAGTACAGCAGCACTGAGTAATATTTCCTTCTTCATCTTTCTTTTTGATTTGTTACTATTTACTATGTCTATATGCTACATGCAAAGTTTATGACTAGCTAGAGATATGATAAGTTTTGGAAAAATACATTTCTTAAGTTAATTAATTTCTTGGAATTGAGTTAGATTCGACCTAAATTTAAGTGTGTGTGAAAATAATTAATCTTTTTTCTTATTAAGAAATATATTTGGGCTAGCTAGCTTAATTTCCAACCATGCTGATATTGTTTATTTCTTATTTTTCTATCGAATCTCTGTTTGAAAATGGATTGGGCAATCATGTTATGTGAGCTTGATTATGTTACTTATAGTGGATATGGCATGAATGCATGTATGATTATCATTTTGCAGTTCTTTTAGAAACTCCAAGCTAAGTGTTAATTATTATTATTATTTTTTTTTTTTTTTGGGTTCATGGATAGCTAAGTGTTAAATTGAGTTAGTTAATAACAAATCTTGCTTTTATTTAATTTTTTTTTTCAAACCTTAAATAAATTATAATTCTCTGTTTTTGTTTCTCTATATCTTGAGAAGGTGGTAATGTTAATTATTCATTAATAGTTGTTTTTTTTTTTGTACACTCAAAAGGTAGAATAATAGATACAAGTTGGAGAAAAGAAAAATGTATGGTCTAGCACTTCATGGTTGGTTTTAAGTTCGTGGGCTAGTATAGGCCACTTCATGAAGCACTAGCATATGCTTCAAGTTAGAGGTCTCGAATATTCAGATCTTAGTGAGAGCATATGAGATTGAATATACTTGTGAAAGAGGTCAAGATAGGCTCTCCCAATAGTCTCACGCTATTGGGTTTGAAATGTGAATAATAAAATAGATAACTCTTAATAGATTTAGGTAGGCATGGAATCGTGACGAGGGTGATTTTTGATCTCCATATTCTAAGAAAAGGTGTGTTGGGAGGGGGGCGTAAATCCACGACAAACTCGTTACATCATTCTTTTTTTTTTCTTTTTTTTTTTTTGCAATTAGTTTACTTATATATTTTATAATAAATAATATATTAAGTTATTAAGTTATTAATCGTATTTTATAATCCAAACTATGTATAAAATTAATAAATTAGCAAGAATTTTAAATATATCTTGAGTTGAAGTATAATTTAAATTTTTATGTAATTATTATAATTTAAATTATTAAAATATTTTAAATCTTATATTTATAAAAATAAATTCTTAACTCTAAATAATATATAAAGAAAGTAAATTACATTGACACTTCTAGAAATTTAATAAGATTTCATACAGTCTCCTTTCTTTATCTTTTTCTTTTTTTAATCTTTTCAGTAACTTCATTTACAAGGAGTCATAATGTAATATTTTTTAAAATAATTAAGTGAGATTAATGTAATATCTAAGGAGTATTAATGTAATGTTTTTCAAACAATTAAAAAGAATTAGTGTAGAGATATTAAAAAGTAGAATGCTTGTTCACAATCTCATGAAACCTAGAGGGTATTTATGTAATCTTTTGAAATTTAACTCAACTCTATAAAACTAATATGTAAAGTATAAATTATCTCTCACTTATATATACTAATTTAGTTTAATTTACTGCTAGTTGATGTGAAATTTAAATTTTTAAAAAATTAGATAAGTACCCCTTGAAATTTTGTTAGATTGCACAAACACACTTTACTTTTTTTTACCCCTATATTAACTTTCCTTAATTAGTTGTCACCCTTAGCCAACAAACAACATTGAAGGCCAAATCCAAGCTCTTCATCACCTCTAAAGTCATACTCAAGTAGCAAGTGGTAGTGCAAAAGGGATGTCAAATTTAGTTATGCATATTTGTAGAGTTTTGCACTAGGTCATGGTGGATTAATTTCTTTGTGATCGTTGTAATTTTTTTTTTATAATCAAAAGATTTCATTGAAGAGACACAAGATGATTTGAAAGTTAAATGAAGGAATAAAACAAGATTCCCTACTTTTATAGCCCATTCTCCTAGAAAAAAAAATATGCAAGAGAATACAAAAAACTATATTAAACAAAAGAGACAGACCACTATGAGGAGTAAGAATGAGACTGTGCAAAGTTAATACTTGCCCTCTTTGATTGTAGCTCCAAAATGATGGTTACAAATTCTATAACCAATCCATTTTCCCCATCAACTTGAATAAATTGTGCAACACACCACATAACAAATATGAAATTGTTGCACCATAACTCCCTCAAAATGTGTGTGCTATATACATTGTACTTTACAACACTAGAGTTTAGTCTATGCAGCTAAAAAAAATTATTTCAACCCAACAAACTATGCTCCATGTAGCAATGTATTAGCATAACAACTAATGCAATCATTAGGATTTGTTTTCCATCATGATAGAGTTGTCATTTTCTTAAGCATTCTATTGGATTTATACACCAATCGAAGTATGTTCTATCTAAAAATTTGTCCTCTTTACTAATGAACAAATCCTTGGCAGAATTTTTATTTGAGCTAGTAGTGCAATAAAATCAAAAGTAGCTCCTTGGAATATAATCTTATTTTTCAACAACCATAAGGCATATACCACGCGTGCCAAATAATGTGAGTTACTCTCCAATATTGTTTTCCTTGGAGACAAAGGTTGTGATGTAGATAGTGTTGGTACCCATCATTATGTGAAACCCCAGCATAGTCCAACCATAAATAGATAGCAGACCATTTCTTATATGCTAGAGGGAAATTAAAGAATAAATGACTACATTCTTCATGATGAGAAAAACAAAATACACAAGAAGTACCTTGCACATATGAGATAATACCGCAATGTTGTAGCTGAATTCTTGTGGGCAAACAATCTTGCAAAAGTCTCCTAGTAAAAGTTATAATTTTTTAAGGGATGGAGCATATCCATATAGGTGGCTATACACAAAATCAACAACATCATTGAAACTTGTGGGAGTCTATTGAGATTGCAAAAGGTTATAGGCAAATTTGGCAGTAATTTTTTTTTCTAAAATGTCCTCTAACTAGAGCCATGTATCTAGTACTTCTTCATGTAGTTCTACCAGAGTTAACAGGTTCTGCAATTCATTGGCCAATTATGGCTCCTATACAAATAATGATCTTCTCCAATTCCACCTCCAAGACCACAAATGTTGAAGCCCCACAACCATACTAGCAACAATTGTTTGTTTATCCATAAAATTTTAAAAATTACAGAGACTAAAAAGACTAATTTTAAAATTTGAGGACTAAAAACATATTTAAACCTAAAATAAATATGTTGTATTGTTACAATGTTAGTAACACAAAATTCTTTACTGAACAAAAGTGACACAATATTGTCCCAAGTAAGTAATCATCCAAATACTAATAAACAATTTTTTTAAAAAGTTATAGGGACTAAAAAGATCAATTTTAAATTCGAGGGAGACAAAAGATCAATTTTAGAATTGTACAACTAAAAACATATTTAAGCCTAAAACAAATATGTTGTATCGTTACAATGGTATTAACAGAAAATCCGTTACTGAACAAGAGTGATACAGAGTATTGTCCTGAGCAAGTAATCATCCAAGTTTAGGGTTCAAGGTTCACTGATTATTAAGTTCGTGGTCTTGTATAGAGCTTCCTAGAGTTGTTTGTAGCTTGACTTTTGCTTCTCTTTGGATTAGAGGTAATGGAAGTTGGATTCTTGGTTCTTGTTGGATTGTTTGGTTGGTTGTTGGTTTATTCAATATGGATTCTAATAGTTGCAATTATATTGTTGAATAGCATGATTTAGAAAGGCGATAGTTGAACTTGGTGTTTTTGGGTTTCAAGGAGAATTGGTGATTTTGAGAATGGTTGTTGCATGTTGAATTTCTTGTGCAAAATGAGTTGTTGTTGATGTATATAAGTGATATCTTGTATTTAATGTTGGTGGTTTTCTAGTTTTCATGTGATTTGAGCCAATTCGAGCATTTGTTGAGTGTAGAACTCAAATCGAGGAAATGCCTCCTTGAGGTGAATCCTCCCAACCCAATGATATTTTCAAAAGCAAGTTTCACTATCATTTCCAACTTTACTACAAATTGAATTGGAAAACCATGACAAATAAGCATTCAATCCAGCCTCAATATTATTAACATCATGCCACCATGAAGATGCATGTCTAGAAATGAATGTGACTTGAATGGGGGGCTTGTTAAGAGGACCATATCTAAAGGATAATAAATCATACCATATGGCCTCTATATCCAACAAACAATGTCATTTCCGTTTAGACAAGAGACTAATATTGAAAACCTCAAGGTTAACTCCAAGGCCTCCTCTACTATTTGGTCAACACACTTTATCCTAACTAGGGATGGCAAATATACCCGTACCCGCGGGTAATACCCGAACCCGTCCCGACTTTGACGGAGAATACCCGGTTTGACCGGGTACGGGTACGGGTAAAGGTAAAACCCGATATATTAAATCGGGTACGGGTACGGGTATGTACTTACCCGCCCCGTACCCGTACCCGTCCCCGTTCCCATTTTTAATTAAATACTCACTTTTAATAAAACCTGATATATTAAATCGGTACGGGTACGGGTACGGGTATGTACTTACCCCGTCCCGTACCCGTCCTCGTTTCTTTACAAAAAACAAAAAATAAAAAAATTGACAAGTACAGGTACGGGTACGGGTATACCCGATACCCGACGGGGACAGGGATGTGGATGAAAATCACATACCCGACGGGTACGGGTACGGGAACGGGTATGGGTTTGGCTCGCGGGGACGAGGACGGGTATCATGAACCCCGTACCCGCCCCGCCCCGTTGTCATCCCTAATCCTAACTGACCCAATTTATTTTGTTATTCATCACAACCTGTCCACAAAAAATTTCTTTGAATAGTTATGTTTTTTAGTACCTTATTGGGAGCTTTGTAGAATGTAAAGAAGTACATTAGTAAGCTAGACAGATCAAAGTTAATTAAAGTGATTCTACCACTCAAAGATAAAAATTAATTTTCCTTTCTTGAGAGCTAGTTTTGCATGCATAGTTGTCACCACAAGTTCCCAAGTACTACATCTTCTTGGGTTGGCATTGACTAACACTCCCAAAAATTTAAATGGGAGACTTCCACAACTACAATGCAAAAAGTTGGCAACAACGCTAAAAAAATATTACTCCAAGTTAATTCCATGCAAGTTGCTCTCGGAGAAATTCACCCTTAACTTGGACACCGACTCGAAACTATGTAAGATAGCCTTGATACACCACAAGCTATCACATGAGACTTCACATAACAGGATGGTATCATTTGCAAACTGTAAAATAAGGAAAGAGAGGTTCCTTAATGCCATTGAAACTACCTTGTTCTCTTGCTTTAGGAACCAAACCGATTAACCCTTCTACAACAATCAAAAATAAGAAAGGAGATAATGGGTCCCCTTGGTTTAAGCCCCTCTGAATCTCAACCTCTTCTGTTTGACTACCATTAACTAGAATGGAAACAAGACTAGAGAAAATGCATGCTCTAACCCACCTTCTCCAAGTTTTGTTAAATCTCATCCTACCTAGCATATATAGTCAACTTAAAAAAGAAAACATCTATCCTTTCTTTTTCTTTTTCTTTTTTGACTAAATGTGCTACTACATTAACGACCAACGCTCCGTCCACAATTTGTCTTTTAGGCAAGAAAGTTGTCTGACAAGTAGAGATAACAGTCAAGTACCCTTTTCAACCTCAAGGCCAAAATTATAGTAATAATTTTATACATACTTCCGATAAGCAAGATGGGCCTACACTCCGAAAGTGACTATGGATGCTCCTTAGGAATTAAAGCCAAAAAATTAGCAATTAGAACCTTTGGAAGAGATGTGTTATTCTTCAATAAATTCACAAATATCTAGTTTCAACAAATTCCAAAACTTCTTGAAGAAATTGAAATTAAATCCATCTCGTCCGGGCTTTTATTACCGTCACAACTTCAAATGGCGTCTTTAATTTCTTCCAAACTAAATGGGGCAGTAAGAGCGTTGTTGTCATCACTAGATAGCTGTTGGAACTGGATTCTATCCAACATAGGTCGCTAACATCCAATTCTGAAAATACATGCTGGAAATGATTTCTTCACCTTTAACATCCTCCACTTTCTCAAGCCAATTGTCCCCTAACTTGAGGGCTAGAATCTGGTTGATGAGTCGTTGTTCATGTGTACTTTGTATACTTCTTCAAAACTTTGCGTTGTTTGGGAGAGAAAAGGGAGAGGATCGAGAATGTTGTGGTGCAATGGAGCGGCACACAGAAGTTCGACGTGAGCATGGAGAATGAAGGGTTGAATAGGAAAAACGAATAATAAAGATCGAATGAAAAAAAAAAAAAAAAAACTCATCCATTCATTTTAAAAACAACAAATTAAACCATTAAAATATTATATCCCATGGTAGCACACATTCTTAATTTTCCCACCTTAGTCTCCACCCTACTTTGCTAAAGAGTATGATATCTCATGCCTATGTCCCTCAAGTTTCTTTATGACAAAATTAGTGTTTCGTTTGATGTTTTTGAAATTATTTGTTAATTTGAATTAATGTGAGAAAATATTAAATAATTTTTAAATTTGGAAAAAAAATATAAATTTAACTTATTTATTAAAAGTTTTTAATTTGATGATTCGATCGTTAATATATTTAACGTAGATAATCTATTATTTATATATTTCGAAGCTAGTAAGTACATCTTAATTATATTTTTTTCAGGCTTAAAAGGAAGTTAACCAATTGTTTTCGTTAAAGATTTTCAAATCCTAAAATCCTTACAGTACATTCTAAGTGATGATTTATCTAGCATTGCTCCAGTTATACTAATAACCATTTTTTTATATTATGATCAGTATTAACAAAATCATCGAGAGGTATCGCCAATGTCGTTACAGCAAGTCACAGGCTGGCGATTCATCAGAACTTGAATCACAGGTTTATTCTTGTTCTTTTGATCTTCTTTAGCATCATTCTTTTAAAAAATAAGGAAGAGGGGAGAAAAACCCATAAATAATTTTAAGTTCAACACTATATATTGTAAGTTCCTTAAGTACTGCTTCTATTAATATATATACTATTTAATTTTAGCATATATTACTGTGTCTTGCAGAACTCATACCATGAATTCTTGAAGTTAAGATCAAAATATGAATCTCTAGAGAGGACCCAAAGGTACTTGAGATGTATTTATAAGAGCATTACTTTTATACAGTTAGTTTGGTATAGCCTTATTTATTTAAAAATAATTTATTTATAAAATAAAATCGAAAACTTATTCATTAAATTTTCACCCCTATATTTAACGGTATACTAAAATGATCCTTCATACAATTACTCTTACACTGCATATGTATATGGAAACAAAAATGTTTTGTATATATAAATCAAAATACTTTACATTGTTTCTTTGCTGTGTTTGAAGGCATTTTCAAGGAGAAGAACTTGAGCCACTTAGCTTTAAAGAATTACAGAGCCTCGAGAAACAACTAGACATAACTCTCGCACTAACTCGACAGCATCAAGTATTGTCAATAAATTCATTTATTTACATAAAAAGAAAAGACAAGATTAAAATGAAAAATATATTTTAAAGACTAAAAATACATTTATTTATTTATTCATTGCTGTTAATATTGTCGGGTGCGCCTTTAAATTGCAGGCGAAGAAACTCATGGCCCGAGCGGATGAATTACGCGAAAAGGTATGCAATATTTAAACTTCAAATATTAAATGAGGGTTGTATGTATGTTCTTGATTTGTTGGATTTTACTCCATTTGATGTGAACCGTTTCTGTGAATTTCAGTACTCCATGCATTTGTTTTCCTTGTTTCACAACTTGGTGCTATAGAAGTTATTATTTATTTATTTTAATTATGTTATTGCTCCAAAGTATATATATATATATATATATATATATATATGAAAACGATACTTGGTATATTAATGACGAATATTTAAAAAAAATCTTGATTATGTCTTAAAAAAAAAACACTTATACACATGAAAACTCTTCTCTTTTAATCAAAGTGTTATACACAAATAAATAAAACTATAAAAGAAACCCTAAATCCTAAACCATACCATACTTTATATTAGTTTATCTTAACTCAAGACTACATAAGAGTTATTATAAGTATTTTTTTTAATACAAAACATTTTTGGACTACAAACTAAGTATTTTCAACTTAATTTTTCAAATAATACAATAAATATTTTGTGATATAAATCCTCTATAAGCTTCAACTATTTTCACAAAAAAAAAATATAGGGTGAAAATTCATTAATTATAGTTTTATAAAGACAAATTATAGGAGAATAGAGAGTCTTTTTCTAAGGAAATACTTGGGGGATGTCTGATAGGAGAACTTTTTTCATACACAGAGATTATGATTTCTAAGAAATATAACTCCTGAAAATCATGCTTCTTGATAATAACTAAAAATTGTTTAGTTACATATAGATGTTCCTAAAAATATTCATATAAGATTCTTGGGAATTAAAGATTTTAATATTTTGGTTATAATAGTATATTCTTATGTATATAAATATTTTTTTACAAAAATATTCTTTATTAAAATAACCTCATTAGATATATTTATTTACTCAAATCTTGATATATTTATTTACTCAAATCTTATTATAAGTATGAAATTAAACTATTTGAAAAGTTGAAAAATTATAGTTAAATTATTTAACTACATGATTTAACAAAAGAAATAAACAAAAAAATGCTACCTTATAATTAAAAAAGATAAAAAAAAATATTATTTCATTTTATTCAAATAAATAAATTAAATAAGTGTTAACAAATACCATTAAATAGTAAAAATAAAAAAATAATAATATTATTAAAATTGACAAAGTCAAGAAATAATGAGATATTAAAAAGAGAAAGAAATAGAGATAGGAGGGGGAGAGAAAGAGAGAGGGGAGAAGGAGAGGCAGGGGAGAGAGAGAGGGAGAGAATGGAAGTGAGAGTGAAAGTATAAGAGAGAGAGAACGAAAGGGATCGAGAAAAAGAAATAAAAGAAAAGAGATACTTTGAAAAGATGAATACTAATTATATATGATATATATTTGTTTTAAAAAAGAATATTGTGATCTTTTTATATACAACTTTCCCCCTAACTCACAAAAATTGGATTTTCAACCCCTAAAGAAATGTTTTTGTGGAAAAGTGAAATAAAAATAATTTTTTAAAAATTATATCAACTAGAATTTTTTTTTTTAAATAGCTATCAAACATAAGAAATCAAAATTCTCGATTTAAGATTCTCATGAAACTAAAAATATTACATGTATCCAACACCCCCCTTAAAGAATTTTACGAGAGATTTCTCATATATTAATTTACAAAAAAAAAATGGTTAGAAAAGTCCCTCTTTCTTCAAAAACTTTAATATATATATATATATAAAGGGATCCACTTACTCTAAGAGTAAATCTACATTAACTTACTCCACTCAATAACTTAAGTTTTATATCAAATTTTAACAATTTAACCGTGAAATTAAAAGTTCTTAATACATAAATCAAGTCTACAAATTTTTTAAAAAATTTGAAAACTATTTGATACTTCAATTCATTAATTTAAATTGACAAATAATCATAAAAAAAAATTTATACGTTGATTTAAATTAATAAAATGGAGTACCAAATATTTTTTAAATTTTATAAAAATTTACAGACTTGATCTATACATTAAAAACTTTTAATTCATTTTAATTCAATGGTTATATTGTTAAAATTTGATATAGAACATAAATTATTAAGTGAAGTATAGATAGACTTACTTTTAGAATAATTAGATTCTTCCCCTCTCTCTCTTTCTATATATATATATATATATATATATATATAGAGAGAGAGAGAGAGAGAGAGAGATCTGTTACTCCAATAATAAGTATACCTAGACTTATTCCGTTCAATAATTCATATTTTACGTCAAATTTCAACGATCCAACCGTTGAATTTAAAGTTATGAATACATAGATTAAGTCTGCAATTTTTTAAAAAATTTAAAAATTATTTGATACTTTATTTCATTAATTCAAATTGATAAATAATTATAAAATTATTTTATACATTGATTTGAATTAATGAAATGAAGTATCAAATGGTTTTCAATTTTTTTAAAATTTTCATATTTGCATTAAGAACTCTTAACTCAACGGTTGGATCATTGAAATTTGATGTATAACATGAGTTATTGAACGGAGTAAGTTTAGGTAGACTTACTCCTAGAGTAACACACACACACACACATATATATATATATATAAAGAGAGAGAGGAAGAATCAAATGACCCTTAGAGTACTTCTTGCTTAAGTTACTTTATCCAACAACTCATTATATATGATGAATTTCAACGATTCAACTATTAATAATTCTTAATATGTATGCATTAATATTAATGCATAGATCAAGTCTATAAATTTTAAAAATTTTAAAAATTATTTGACACTTCATTTTATTAATTCAAATTAATAGATAATCATAAAAATATTTTATATGTTGATTTGAATCATTAAAAGTATGAAGATATTTGAATTACAATAGAACAATAAAAGAAAATAAGCATAATGATTTGCCCTATCAAAGTGACAAGTTGATGAAAAACAATAAATACAATTTAAATACCCCAATATTTACTTGTAAGCTTACTAGAGTTGAAGGAAGATGAAGGTGCAATGAATTCTCAACAATTACTTTTTAAAAATTTGCAAACTTGATTTATGCATTAAGAACTTTAAATTTAATAGTTGAATCGTTAAATTTGATGTAAAACATGAATTGTTAAACAGGATCAGTTTAGATAGACTTAGTTTCAAAATAAATAGAGTGAAATGGATTTGTTTACTCTAGGAGTATGTCTACTTATACTTACTTCATTCAATAACTCATGTTCTACATCAAATTTCAATGATCCAACCATTGAAATTAAAGTTTTTAATGCATGGATCAATTCTGTAAATTTTAAAAATTTTGAAAACTATTTGATACTTCATTTCATTAATTCAAATTGACGGATAATCATAAAAATATTTTATACGTTGATTTGAATTAATGAAACGAAGTATCAAATAGCTTTCAAAGATTTTAAAAATTTGTAGACTTAATTTATATTGCATTAAGAACTTTAAATTCAACAATTGAATCATTGAAATTTGATATAAAATATAAGTTATTAAATAAAGTAAGTTTAGATAGACTTATTTTTGAAGTAAACGAATCTCTCCTTTTATATGTTTATATATATATATATATATTAAAAAGTAATTGTTGAGAATTCATTGTACCTTCATTTTCCTTCAACTCTAGAAAGCTTATATGTAAATATTGGGGTATTTAAGTTGTATTTATTGTTTTTCATCAACTTCTCACTTTGATAGTATAAAGCATTATGCTTATTTTCTTTTATCGTTCTATTGTGATTCAAAGATCTTCCTACATTTTACGTAGACAAATACGTGGTTGTATTTTATTGAGTAGGTTAACGTGTCTTCTAAGACAATATGAGATGTGATTATTTTCACTTCTACAAGTCTTCTTTGATTCATTTTCCTTAATTTATTGAATTTGTATATGTTTTGTTCCTACAGAATATTTGGGCTAAATAAATATATTTTTCAATATAAGATTATTCTTAAATGTTGTGTTTTGTGATCGTCTTTATGGGGGAATGGGTTTCGTCTAACTTATAAAAATGTGTATTTTCATTACTTTGTGAAACTTTGTTTCATTTGATTATCTTAATAAAAAAAATGCTTATTATCTTATGAAGCGTAAAAAGTTATTTTATTTATTTAATCAAAATATTTAAAAGTTGTAAAACCTCTTTTATCTTAACAAGCAAACAACTTTAGGCTCTTTTGTAACTATATTTTTAGATGTGTTTGATATAAATAAATTATATTTCTTCATTAAATAGTTTAAATTTTATTGAAGTGAAGTGTAAGCAACATACTATCACATATTTCCAGTGCACTTTCCTTTGGTTCTTAAAATTTATATAGGCCCTGTTAGTTTGGAAATGAAACCCACGTATTTAAATAAACTCAAATTTCACCCAATAGGAAAATGTGTATAAAAAATATTGTTAAAAAATCTGCTGCTAGCGTTTACTTTTTAAAGAATAATTTAGATAGTATAATTTGCATGATATGGGTAAAGATATTTTTATGTTCAAGCACCTTATTGCTTCATCATTTATTGAAAAATTACAAAAGATTAATAATATTTGGAACTCTGTTAATACCAAACATTGTCCTCACCAAAATATCATTATAGGATACTTCATTAATTCTAATCAACTATCTATATTTGCAGGTGTACAAGTTGGAAGAACTTAACAAACAATTGGAGTCTAAGGTTTTCACTTTAAATAATCATGTAATTATAGTTTAGGCAAGCTATAAAATTTTCAATTATTGTTATGATAATTCCTTTTATATATTTATTTTCTTTTTCAAAACTTATTTTGTAGGAAAAAGATGAATTCTCAACCCTCATCCTTGACAATAACAATTATGTTCAATTGCATGCTACACAAGTAGATCAATTTGAATCTGGGACAACACTAAACACATGGTATGCATTGTTTTTTTTAGTCTTTAAATTTTTTAATATAAAAATTTCTCATGAGTTAGTAATTTCATGTAAAGTATTTGTAGAGTTAATTGTTCATCAAAGATTATGAAATTAATTAATGAGAATAAAAAAGGAGAGAAAAAAACTTAAAGGATATGATTAGATCAATTTATATCCTAGAAGTTTTTGGGAAGAATTTGCTTAATTATGCTTATGATGTATCTGATACAATCTTAAATTATATTATTGCATGACATTACCCTCTCCACTGCTAAGGGAATTCTAAATTTGTGTTCTTTTTTAAACTTTTGTCCTTGAAAAGTATATTGAGTTTAGAAGAGATAAACAATATTGCATTATAATCCGAAAGATGAACTTTTATGACAAATGGTGTCCTTTTTAGCTTAAAGTGCACTATTGAACTCGTAGGATGTTAATGTCTTATTGGTTTAAAATTATGAAAATAAAATTGAAGAATATTAATGAATGTTCTTAACTCAAACACCAAGTCACAATGCAATTTCTAATAATTAGTGTATATGTCTTTTTATGATGTCATGAAATGGCCTCTATATACATTAGATACAACTGATGTTAATTCGAAAATTAATAAGTAACACCCTATATAGATCTTTCTTGCTGACATTAAAATAGTCTAAGAATTAATTTGAAAAATAATTTTAACAAATAATTAATGAAAAACTAAAATAAGATATGTGAATAAACTTCTTCCATAAATAAAAATCCTATGAATCTCAAACGTAATTTAAAAAAAATCATAATTTAATTTTAAATTTAGAAGAAATTAGATATATTTTATTTTGTCTTTTTTACTTAGTAACTGGTGAGAAATTGATCAAAATTAAACCTAAAACATTTTCAAACAACTTGTTTTGCCACAATAGAAATAGAGATAAACAATTTCCTAACTCGAATTTTACAAATACCATAAGTTATTTTCTAAAAGATATTTGTTGATTAATCTTTAAATTATCTTCATGTAACAAAATCCTTGTGATCCATCAATATCGTTGTAAGCATCGTAATCACAATATCAACTATTTGCAATCTAAGAAAAACAATGCAATTAATTAGCAACCACATAATACAAGTTAGTTTTACACACACACATTTACAATCTAAGAAAAACATTGCAATTAATTAGCAACCACATAATACAAGTTAGTTTTACACACACAATCTAAGAAAAGTATTGAAATTAATTAACACACATATTTATATATATAAACTTCTTTAAATAACCATCTTTTTTTTTCTTTATCAGTGTTTATATATAAATATGACAATGCATAAAATAAAATATAAAAAAAACTTTATATACAAAGAAAATATTAGCTAGGCATGTACTCATTAATATATTATTATTTTATAGTGAAAATTAATGTTAAAACAAATACTTTTGGATTTATGACAATTATATAATAGATGTATTGATCACCAATAAAGGAAATACTTTATTTTGATATCTATATTTTTTACTATTTTATTTCTTAATTTATTTATTTAATTATCTTTTTTTAATTTTTAATTATTTCACTATTTTAAAATTAATTTCACACTTTCTTAATTCCATCATTTTTATCTTTTTATTTTATTTTTCTATGACGAAACATAAACTACCTCACTCTCACTAGCTAATATACATAAATATACTATAATAAATAAATATATAATTTTTAATACACAATTTTATTAGTATAGAAAATTATAACATAGAGATATTATACTATTAATATTAAATGACAATGTTATATTAACGTAGGAATTCCCATTTAATAATAACATGAAAACCTAAAGATAAATACATTTTATTAATGTTTGAATTTTTTTGTTTTCTTATAATGTACATGTATTATTAATTAATCGAGTTTATATATAAACACTTATCTCCATTGATTTAATTACATTATTGATGTAAAATTTCTATAAAAATGTGCAACTGTCATTCCAAAATTTAGTTATATGAAGGGTGTTTAATATGTTTTATAAAAATATGAAATCTTTTATGTATAAATCATATAATAACTTGATACTTAATCAAAATTATTTGTATTTGTTGCAGTAGGTTTCAACATCAAGAAGTTGTTTCAAAGGAAAAAACAATTGATACAGGAACGATGGATAGTCAAGACAATCTCAACAGAAATAATGGATGGTTGTAGGAATATTTATTTGTTTTACATGTTAAAAAATATTTATCATAATTTGTAAGGTGTTTGTGTATTGGTGCCCACATAAATACTTTATATAAAGTAAATGTTATTTTTACTAAATGCATATTCCTAATAGAAGATTATGTGTTTATGTACTAGAACAGGGGAAAAATATGTATTTTATCTATCATTGTATAATTTATCATTAAAATATGTTTCTAAGTATAAATATTTTTCATGAGATTTGTCATTGTACTAGTAGAGAAAATTACATATATCATAATTTTATAGTTCTATGTGAACAAATACCTTTAGTAGGGATTCCATGCCATTTTTAATGTTTACAAATAATATATTTTCTAGAAATATTATATTAGGAAAAAAAATGATACTTTAAAAATTTTGATCAAAGATAACAAATCTATAAGAAAATATCATGAATTTTTCAAAAAGAATCATTAAAAATATCCTTAGATATCATTTCCTTTTAAGATCATTAAAGGAATAAATTATACAATATTTTAAAAAATAATTTTATAAAATCATAGGTATCATTATTAAAGAAAAAAAAGACATTATATATATCCCTTAAATAATAATACGTTTTAAGGAAGTATTTTTAAGAGAGTCTCACAAGAGAAAAACTATTGAAAAATAATTTTCTTTCTGCATTTTTTTTCTTATTCAATACATCTCAATATTTTAGCTGTTGTTATAAAACTTAATCAAGATTGCATTTTGGTTGCAAAAACCTTATTAGGAGATTAAAATCATAACATTAGTTTACTTGGAATGTTATATATTTACAACAATTATAATTATATATAAGGTGTTTAATTAATATGATAGTTTATTAATTTGAAATAATGTATTAAGTTTATTTCTTGTAACGAAACAATTTTCTTTACTTAAACTAATATTTGATTATACCTTGTTAAAATGTTAATTTAGTTCTAGCTTGCTTTGTGTTGGCTATGTACTTAAATTAAAGAATATCATCTTCCTTATTCAATTTGCCTTGTTTTTTTTTGTCAAGGCTTCTTCAAGTTTCTTTATACACGTTTTGCCAGGAGTTAGTGTATTGGGGCAAGATTTTTATAGTTCTAGCTGAGAATACCATCATTTATCATTTTTCTTTAGAATTTTTCTCTTATAACCTTTGTTCTATCTCTACAATGCACATTTTGATATTTTGTTGTTATTGTTGTCGTGGAATTAAGATTCAAAAACTCTATATAAACATTAACTAGTCGTGCCTCAAACAAATAATCTCTTTGTCCAATCCAAGGAATCCAACTTCAACATAATGGTGACCTTGTAATAATTAAATAGGTCAACATACAATCTAAAGAAAAAATCTTGAAAAAATAATTATCTACTTTGCTAATAAAATAGATCCACCCACAAAGTAGTCAAAAAAAATCTTGAAAGTTTAAACTCAAAGTATTCACATGTCTAATCAATCAAGTCTTGAAAGTGTAAACTCGAATTAAAAGACATGACAATAAACAATTCTTAAATTTCTTGACAACATGCAAGATCACACCTAATCCTAACCCAAGTCCCAACACCTAAAATACCAAATGCAAGAACACAATCATTACTTAAAAATAATCCACAATTCAGAGAGTTAAAAGAGTTATCCATAGAATATTACAAAATTGTTTCCTTATTTTTTAGCAATTAAAATAAAATTATAAACACCTTATCACATACATAATCGCAAACCACAATTCACATTTATAAAATTAAAAAAGGAAAAGTAAATATCAATTAAAACAAGGACATTTGTTACATTCCACTATTAACAACATCACTTTAATTTCTACATTTCATCATCACAAGGTCACTAGAGTGAGGATAATATATATCCATGTCCAAAAGTTGTTGCAACACACAAAAAAAACATCAAAACAAAAAGAAAAACTCTCACTACTAGAAAAATTAAAATTAGAGAGGGAAAAAA